AACATATGCAGTTCCTTGGTGCGTTTGGGTTTAAGGACTGCTACCCACCTTGCTAAAGGTCGAACCTCTGTAGTCTGGCATTCTCTGGTAACATCCATGGCCTGGCATGATTTTAGTTATCTAGATGTCCACTTATCATGGATGTGGCCAAGTTTCCCATGGTCCTATAAAGTTTATTTACAGCCACCAGTCCTGGCTCTCCGTGTTCTGTGCTGTTATTTAGCTCTAATTTACCCCTAAATGTACTCTAAGAGCCCAGTAAGCAGTAAAAGTGTTGGTGATGCTGCTAGACAATATTGACCTCCCCATGGTTCAATAAATTGTCCGGTTCTGCACCGGTCAGGTCCCAAGGGTGCTGGACTAGAGAGGTTCAATCTGTATTTATTCAGGCCAATAGCTATACGTCACAATTCAACGTGTTTTTTGTAATAGCTCAGTTATTGCCAACTGTTGCATAGTTCTTTTTAGAATACAAGGAAAATGTAGTTAAAATACCTAATTTTAACACTGAAATTTCCAGTCCAGTATTATGTACATTGATTTTTCACAATGTAGTATTCTTCCAAAATTGTAACTCCAGAAAAAAATATTCATACAAATGAAGAACTTGATTTTGCACAACACAACTATGAAGAAATGCACAAGAAGAGACAAAATATAATGAAAAAGACAGAATCAGTGTTTCCACATCTCAAAATTTTATCGTGGTATTTGGTGGTTTTCTCTTAAAAGCCCAGCTCTTGGAGTCACATGATTATGTCAGGATCTCAGCTCTCATATATATATATATATATTTAAAAAAAAGGCTAGTTGCTAGTAGGGTTGCCGGGTGCCTGGTATTGAACCGGACAGCCCGGTATTTGTGCCTTCCATCTGGTAAAAACATTCAGAAAATACCGAACATCTAAAATGTCTGGTATTTTCTGTTTTTTTCCCAAGGCCTCACTTGGGTGCCCAACGGAAGGCCGCTTGGGACATGCGGTGCAGCTTGTTCACGCTGGCTGGGGCAGAGGGAGGGGGGAGCAGCCTGGGAATTAAAGGGGCTGCGACTGCATTTCAGCCCTGGCTCCTTCTTGGGGGGGTGAGGGGGAGTTCGGTATGTTTTGTGAAACCATCTGACAACCCTGATTGCTAGTCCTCAAAGTTGTGGAGAAAAGCTTGAAAATTTGAACCTCAGTTATACAAATATGAGAGTGCAATGAAAAAGAACCCAAAATGTAATGACTTTAAAGAAATTCGAATTTTAAAAATAATCTTACATTTTTTTGTAGGAAGACTGGCTTATGATTTTTGACTCTTGGAGCTGTAATGTTGCACGTAGTATTAGGAAATCCAATTCTTTGTTAGGAAGTGCTGCCAGGCAGCTACCAACATATACCTGATTAGTAGCAAGAGTAAATTTAAGAGGGGATTATGTAGCCCCCTTCTTTAGCATGATGAGGATACTTATCAACCTTCAGTTTCCTCACATGCCTAGATCTTACCTCTTTTATTTTGTTTTGTCTTGTTTTTTTTACTCTGCACAGAGTTACAGTATCAGACGAGAGGCAAAGACTAACACAGCTAAATGTATGAGGAAGTACAAGGAATCAGTGAGACAATGCTCTACTCTGCACTGATTAGGCTTCAACTGGAATATTGTGTCCAATTCTGGGCACCACATTTCAGAGAAGGTGTGGATGAATTGGAGAAGGTCCAGAGAAGAGCAACAAAAATGACTATATAGAAAACATGAACTAATACGGAAGATTGAAAGACTTGGAGTTGTTTAGACTCGAAAAGAGAAGACTGAAAGAGGACATGATAACAGCTTTCAAGTATCTAAATGGTTGTTACAAGGAGGAGGGAGAAAAATTATGCTCCTTAACCTCTGAGGGTATGTCTACACTACCCTCCTAGTTTGAACTAGGAGGGTAATGTAGGCATACCGCACTTGCAAATGAAGCCCGGGATTTGAATTTCCCGGGCTTCATTTGCATAAGCGGGGAGCCGCCATTTTTAAATCCCTGCTCGTTCGAACCCTGTGCCGCGCGCCGCCATTTTTAAAACCCCGCTGGTTCGAACCCCGTGCAGCGCGGCTACACGGGGCTCGAACTAGGTAGTTCGGACTAGGCTTCCTAGTCCGAACTACCGGTACACCTGGAACGAGGTGTACCAGTAGTTCGGAATAGGAAGCCTAGTCCGAACTACCTAGTTGGAGCCCCATGTAGCCGCGCTGCACAGGGTTCGAACCAGCGGGGTTTTAAAAATGGCGGCTCCCCGCTTATGCAAATGAAGCCCGGGAAATTCAAATCGCGGGCTTCATTTGCAAGTGCGGTATGCCTACATTACCCCGCTAGTACTAACTAGCGGGGTAGTGTAGACATACCCTGAGGAAAGGAGAAGCAATGGGTTTAAATCACAGCAAGGGAGGTTTAGGTTGGACATTAGGAAAAAGGGGTTTTAAAAATGGCGGCTCCCCGCTTATGCAAATGAAGCCCGGGAAATTCAAATCGCGGGCTTCATTTGCAAGTGCGGTATGCCTACATTACCCCGCTAGTACTAACTAGCGGGGTAGTGTAGACATACCCTGAGGAAAGGAGAAGCAATGGGTTTAAATCACAGCAAGGGAGGTTTAGGTTGGACATTAGGAAAAACTTCCTAACTGTCAGGCTGGCTAAACACTGGAATAATTTGCCTATGGAGGTTGTGGAATATCCATCTTTGGAGATTTTTAAGAGCAGGTTAGACAAGCACCTGTTAGGGATGGTCTAGATGGTGTGCGGTCTTGCCCTGAGTGCAGAGGCCTGGATTTGATTACTTCTTCAGGTCCCTTCCAGATCGGTGATTCTATGAATATTATTCAGCATGATAGTCAGTAGTACCAGCACACCAGAAGCTATTGACACATTTCTCTAGGCATTATGGAAAAGGAGTTTTGAGGAAGATAATGAGGTAGGTTTGTGAATGGTTAGGGAAAAATCTCAGATGTGAAGGGTAGCAAGCAAGAAAGAACTGTGTTGCTTGTTTGAAAATGTAACAAGTCGAAGGGGGACCTGGCATTATTGGTTGATTTGAGGGACATCTTACGAGTGAATAAAAGATGATAGAGCTGGGTTAGGGATGTGAACGTGTACCTATGTACAAGATTAATCAATGAGCCTAGGTGTATCAGTTAACCCTTACTGTTACACACAACTCCTCCTCCTCCTTGCTGCTGCCTCTCCATCAGAGGCAGCCATGTGGGGGGAAGAAGATGGTGTGCATGAGGAACCAGTATTTTAGCTGGCTCCCTGTGCATGCCAATTCCCACCAGGAGCATCCTGCCTTCAGCCCCCCGTGCTGCTGCCTGCCTCCCACAGAAGCAGCAGCATGGGGAAGGAGGGTAGGAGCAGGCAGGAGCTGGTGCTGGAGGGGAACTGCTGAAATTTACATGCATGTTAGCCTCGTATGTAAATTTCATCAATTACATGTTTATAGAAATAAATGCATTTTAACATCCCTAGATTGGGTGAGAATGGACTGTGAAAGGCCTTGAAAGTGAGCACAAGCGGCATAAATTTGATGTGCGAGAGAAGAGGGAGCCAATGGAGGGATTCAAAGAGAAGGGGGAAATGAACACAGTGATGGACTAGACTACAAGAACGATCTTTGCAGACGTACTCTAAATGGATATAACAAGACCGCATTTATCAAGGCCAGAGAAAAGGGTGTTGTTATCAAGATGTGAGATAAGAATCCTGACAAGAGTTTAGCTGTATGGATTGATAGAAAAGGCTATATATTAGCGATATTATGTAGAAAGATTTAGACATAACCTGGATGTGAGAACCTAGAGCAGGGGCGGGTCTGATCTGGTCTGCAGGGTTAATCCCTGGTGGGCCCCCACCTCCATATTTACCTGCGCCTCTACAGGCATCAGCGGATCACAGCTCTGGTTGGCTGCGAGTCACCATTCATGACCAACGAGAGCAACGAGAAGTGGCGTCACAGTCCTTGGCACTTCCTGCTGCTTGCATTTGCCGCAAATGGTGATTCACAGCCAATCACAGTGGTGATCCTTTGATACCTGCTGAGGCACAGGTAAACATAGTGGTGATGGTCGCCAGGGACTAACCTTGCAGACTGTGATTTTTTTATTGCCCATCCCTGACCTAGAGAGCGATCCAAGTCAACGATGATGCACAGGTTATGGGAGTGAGTGACAAGCAGGACAGTCATGTTCTGTGCAAGAGAGGTGGCTACTTTACAGAAATATTAATTGAATAAATCTTTCTTTTTTGCATTCTTATTTTCAGTTCTATTGTATCCAACTAGTAATGAATCAATACCGTTGTTAGGACATCTTTTGATCCTGATATAATTAACAAGCTCATTTTATTATCTTTAACTCTGCTGATCATAGATTATATGTGGTGTCCTTTTGCTCTCATTATCAATTTTCTATATATCCTGGTTTTTAATTTGTTCATTATTTTCAACGTCTGTTTTTTCCATTATCTATCTATCTATCTATCTATCTATCTATCTATCTATCTATCTATCTATCTATCACAGTTTTTGGAGCATCTAGTAAACTGTTCTTAAACAGTTCCCAATTATCATTCACATTTTTCTGTTTCATTCTTCTACCTGATTTAGCTCATAATTGGGACATTCTGTAGACTTTTCCAGCAACTTTCTTATTAGAAAGTACATTTAAAGTAGCCATAAAAGAAAATAAAACCATGCTTCATTCTGACTTGTGAACATAGTATTACACTGTACTAGTTTATTAAATTGTGTCACTGACCTGAATGTGCAACCTTTCAGGGCTTGTTTGGGAAAGTGTTATTCATGATGGTCAACACCTACTTATGGAGGTGCCCTCCCCCCAGTTATTTGCATACTTGCTCACCAACTTGAGGAAGGTTGCACAGTTGAACCCTGAGCAATCAAACATGTCATGTTACATCAATAACATTTGTACCAGAGGTTTCTGTGGAAGGTACATTAACAATATTCCTGTTTTGTTTTTTCAGTCTTATGGAAAAGGCGCTAGAAGAAAAAACCGATTTAAAGGATCGGATGGGAGTACATCATCTGACACCACCTCTAATAGTTTTGTACGTCAGGTATGTTGTGCCTTTTTAGTTTGTCATTCTGTTTTGAAAGGATATAGCAAACTTACTGGTGTTCAGAACAGTTGATTGACTTTTTCTTGCCGTATTAGTGATCAAGACATTGTGGGATGCTATTGGACACAAAACATAGCAGCTTTTGGTTAGTATTTTGCTGTTGCTGAGAGAAGCATTTGCTTTCTTTTTATCACAATCACAGAAATTCCGTGACATGATTAAGGAAGGAGGAGGGTGGGGAGATTGCTGGAAGAGCATGGAATGACATCTGTAGCAGAGACATCATAGTTCCACCAACCCCATGAGAATTCTTTGCTTAAAATAGTGCTGTGTGAGGCAGCATTCACTTAGATGCTTTTCTCATTCTTAATTCAGGAACTGAGATGGAAAGGAAATCCTTGGCGGCAGTATGGGTCCCACCAAACTGTCATGGAGTTAGGAGAGGGCTGTAAAGGACAGAGAAGCAATGCACAGTCTTTCATACTCTGTGCATCCCTCAGGTATACACAGATGTGTTAAAGTATACCCAAGGCACAGGCATCTCTGGCTGCAGATTTCACCTTTTATTGCAGAATTGTGCTTCAGAAACATATTGTCTTTAAAAAATAGCTGTTAATAGTTGAAGATGGAACCTTGAAAATGTGAAGCAAATATTAATAGTGCAGTGACACGTGCCTGGGTCTGAAGAGAGCTTGCAACAAAGCTCTAAGAAATGAATTTCTCTATCCATTTTATTCATGATTTTTCAGGTGTAGTATTTGGTATTTTTGCAGCAGAATTCACCATTTTACTGCAATGAGGCACGCAATATTTTGGTTTGGTGTCCTTTCTTTGCCTGTGTCTTTTGCTTTGTCCTTTACAGGCAGTCCCCGAGTTACGCGGATCCGACTTCTGTCGGATCCATAGTTACGAACGGGGCCCTCTCCCTGGTCTCCAGCAGACCAGGGAGAGGAAGCAAAGCGGCGGAGCACGCGGGCAGCGGACAGCCCAGACACATCTGGGCTGTCCGCTGCCCGCGTGCTCCGCCGCTTTGCTTCCTCTCCCTGGTCTGCTGGAGACCAGGGAGAGGGCCCCGTTCGTAACTATGGATCCGACAGAAGTCGGATCCGCGTAACTCGGGGACTGCCTGTAAAGGACAAAGCAAAAGACACAGGCAAAGAAAGGACACCAAACCAAAATATTGCGTGCCTCATTGCAGTAAAATGGTGAATTCTGCTGCAAAAATACCAAATACTACACCTGAAAAATCATGAATAAAATGGATAGAGAAATTCATTTCTTAGAGCTTTGTTGCAAGCTCTCTTCAGACCCAGGCACGTGTCACTGCACTATTAATATTTGCTTCACATTTTCAAGGTTCCATCTTCAACTATTAACAGCTATTTTTTAAAGACAATATGTTTCTGAAGCACAATTCTGCAATAAAAGGTGAAATCTGCAGCCAGAGATGCCTGTGCCTTGGGTATACTTTAACACATCTGTGTATACCTGAGGGATGCACAGAGTATGAAAGACTGTGCATTGCTTCTCTGTCCTTTACAGCCCTCTCCTAACTCCATGACAGTTTGGTGGGACCCATACTGCCGCCAAGGATTTCCTTTCCATCTCAGTTCCTGAATTAAGAATGAGAAAAGCATCTAAGTGAATGCTGCCTCACACAGCACTATTTTAAGCAAAGAATTCTCATGGGGTTGGTGGAACTATGATGTCTCTGCTACAGATGTCATTCCATGCTCTTCCAGCAATCTCCCCACCCTCCTCCTTCCTTAATCATGTCACGGAATTTCTGTGATTGTGATAAAAAGAAAGCAAATGCTTCTCTCAGCAACAGCAAAATACTAACCAAAAGCTACTTGAATGCAAAATCTTAACAATGACCTCATATATGTTTATTTCAGTTACATCAACAGATCAGCTCATCCAACTATAAACTATTCCATGCATTTTGAAAGTTATTCTGACTCAATACTTCTGTGGTCATGTGAAAGCTTTGCGTCAGCTGCAAGTTGGATGAAATTAGTACCTGTATTTTTTATATTTATTTGAGATGAAAGAGAAACCTTATGCAGCATTGGAATGTGTTAGCAATGGTGTTCTAAGCAGTGAAGGTGGAAGGGAATGCATAAGGTATTCCCTTAACTTTCTATGTTCAAAATTTCAAGATTTTGGCATAATGGACTATGTCCTACTGCAGCCTTAACTGCCACTAAAGCATAGTTTTTGTTTATTCATCTCTTGTGTGTGTGTGTGTGTCGGGGGGAAGGGGTTATATTGCTTAGGTGTACCTCAGCGTAAGACTCACCAGAGTTAGGGTATGTCTACACTACAAAGATATTTCGAACTAACGGACGTTAGTTGGAATTAACTTTGATAGGCGCTACACTAGCGCTCCGCTAGTTCAAACTTAATTCGAACTAGCGGAGCGCTTAGTTCGAACTAGGTAAACCTCATTGTACAAGGACTAAGCCTAGTTCGAACTTACTAGTTCAAATTAAGGGGTGTGTAACCTCTTAATTCGAACTAGTGGGATGCTAGCCCTCCCCAGCTTTCCCTGGTGGCCACTGTGGCCAACACCAGGGAAACTCTATTGCCCCCCTCCCGGCCCCGGACCTCTTAAAGGGGCACGGGCTGGCTACGGTGCCCGTGCCAGGTGCAAGCCTGCCAGCACCCAGTTAGCAGACCCTGAACCTCTAAGGAGGACTTAGAGCGTGGAGCTGCTGCCTCGGGTTAGCCGAGGGCTGTGCTTAAAGGGTCCCGACCCCCACCCCAGACAGACAGTTCTCAGGGGTGCCCTGCTTGCAAAGCAGTCCTGGCTTGGAGTGCCCTGAGTGTCCACACTGGGAACATCATAGCACTCGGCCATCAGCCCGGCTGCACTTGCCACAGGCTGCCATCTGGGCAGAGGGAGCAATTGGGGGGCTGCAGGAGAGCTTCCACCCCCAGAAGCCCACAGAGCCAGCCCAGTCCTCCCCATCAGAGGCTCGTACCCCATTCCTCCCTCACCTCCTTCCACTTACCCCTCCCTAGTCCCCCTTCCTGATGTAAAAAATAAAGGACACGTGTGTTCAAAAATAG